TTCTTCTTCTTCTTCTTCTTCTTCTTCTTCTTCTTCTTCTTCTTCTTTTTTTTCTGTAGGATTTTGACATTGCTGGTGAGTTTGACCCAATGATCCCTGATGCAGAGTGTTTGAGGATCATGTGTGAAATCCTAAGTGGATTGCAACTGGGGGACTTTATCATTAAGGTGAGGCCAGCCTTGTACATAGTGAGGGAGAAGTTTGAATTCGGCTTGTGAAATTGTCTTAGTGTTGCTTTAATGAGTCAAGAAATTTAGAGATGGCCATTGTTTTGAGGGAAAGGGCATTGATTGCCAGGACATAGGTTAATTATATTGAGTTCACAGGTAAATGACCGTCGGGTTGTAGATGGGATGTTTGCTGTCTGTGGTGTTCCTGAGAGCAAGTTCCGGACCATCTGCTCCTCAATGGACAAACTCGACAAGGTAACAAGGAGAACATGTTTTAAATAGATCTTGTTTGGGTTTCTGCCCTGCCCTCAAATCTCTGTCATTATGGGAAGAATAAGGAGACCATGACTAATAGTATCTATTCATGAAAAAGAAAAAAGTTAAGGAGACGCTTTTAAACAAGGTCTGAGTTATACCATACAGTGGGGATTGTGGCTGGACTTCCTGAGTTGCCTCTGGTTTTGCTGACTTTACCGTTAGTCAATTAAGATATCCATAACAAATGAAAAGGAGAGGTCCTGCTTCAGTTAGAGAAGGACTCTGAGCTAATGTTTGGGTCTTAATGCAGATGTCTTGGGAAGATGTGAGGCATGAGATGGTGGCAAAGAAAGGACTAGCTCCTGAGGTGGCCGATCGAATTGGGGACTACGTCCAATGTCATGGTAAGAACCAGGGTTTTTAAGGCCATGATAGAACAGGTTGAGGGTGATATGTGTTTGTTGAACTTCTTCCTCTGGATCAGCTCTAGAGTCTGGCCTTGATAAAGTTTCCCTTTTATGTATTCTAACTACTTTATGTCTTCTTAGCAAAGGCAGAAACAGAGGAAGGTCTAGCCATGAGACCAAGGCTGCAGTCCTTTTAAAGAATATGAGGAAGACTGGCTAGAGCATATACATTCAAGCTGACTATAGTGGCACACATTTTTAATCCCAGAACTCGGGAGGCAGGGGCAGGTAGATCTTTATGAGTTCTAGGCCGCCTGGTCTACATAGTGAGTTCCAGGATAGGCAGGGCTATGTAGAAAGACCGTGTCTAAAACCTAAACTCCAAACAAAACAAACAACCCAAAACAATAACAACAACAACAACAACAACTAGATAAATTCAGATGAAAATTATCAGGTAAATGCCAGAGAATATTACCCAACTTTTCTTCCCAGGGGGGATATCCCTGGTAGATGAATTGTTCAAGGATCCCAGACTATCCCAAAGCCAGCTGGCCTTGCAGGGTCTAGAGGACCTGAAGCTGCTCTTTGAATACCTGAGGTTATTTGGAATTGCTGATAAGGTAGGCAGAGATGGGACTGGGCCTTCTGTGGAGCTTTTGGGTTCTCAGAGTCTGGTCTAGGACTGACTAGCTTTTCCCTTACAGATCTCCCTTGATCTGAGTCTGGCCCGGGGCCTGGACTATTATACAGGAGTGATTTATGAAGCAGTACTGCTAGAGTCTCCAGCTCAGGCCGGAAAGGAGACTCTGAGTGTGGGTAGTGTGGCTGCTGGTGGACGCTATGACAGGCTGGTAGCCCAGTTCAATCCTAAGGGCCATAACGTGCCTTGTGTGGGGTTGAGCATTGGAGTAGAGAGAATCTTCTACCTTGTGGAACAGAAACTGAAGGTGGGTCCTAAGTAGAGGTGAAGTGGCCTTGAAAGTTAATAACCAGTTTCTGGATGTGTGTTTGCACTTTTTCCCCTTTTCTTAATGATCCTTTTGCCTTTTCCAATTGCTACTGCAAAGGAAATATCTTTCTTTTTAAAGATTTCTTCCTTATGTATATAAGCACTTTGCCTAAATGTATGTGTATGCCTGGTGCCAGTAGATGTCAGAAGTGAGGGAAATCAGAGCTATGGGTGGTTGTGAGCCACCATGTTGGTGCTGAGAACTGAACTTGGTCTGAAAGAACAAGTACTCTTCACTACCGAGCCATCTCTCTGGCCCTTCCCTCCCTCTGCCAACCCCCACTCACCTCCTTCTTAAAACAACCTTCTAAAATAGGATTTCTTTCTGAGTTCAGGTGGGCCTTGAACTTATGGTCTTTTTGCCTTGGCTGCCTGGGTGCTGGGATTACAGTTGTGAGAGCCACCTTTGGCTGTAGTTTTAGTTTCTTTTCTCTGTTTTATTAGATTTCTGGTGAGAAGGTTCGAACCACAGAGACCCAAGTGTTTGTAGCCACACCCCAGAAGAACTTTCTTGGAGAACGTTTGAAGATAATTGCAGAGCTTTGGGATGCAGGGATCAAGGTATGGTGGTGTTGATGTCTGAGTGATCTGGGTGTGTGTAGACACAGTGGTCATGGCTCATTTCTACCATCTGTGTATAGTGGTACTCAGGCCATTTGTAGCTCACCACTAGAGGGCTAGCCACTTAATCCCAACTGCCTTGGAAATGTATGGTTCTTAGGCACATATATGACACAATCACTTTAAGTCCTCTGACTGTCTATTTATTTTTTTCAGGCAGAGATGCTTTATAAAAACAACCCTAAACTGTTAACCCAGCTGCACTATTGTGAGAAAGCAGACATTCCTCTGATGGTCATTATTGGTGTGCAAGAACAGAATGAAGGTGTCATCAAGCTCCGTTCAGTGGCCAGCAGAGAAGAAGTGAGTTGGAACTGGTAGAAATACAGAGTTCTAAAAGACAGGGTCTTGCTGTATAACCCAGACTGACCTGGGACTGTGTCAGCCAGGCTGGTCTTGAAATCATGATCTTCCTGCTTTAATCTCTTAGGTGCTGTGGCAACAGACTTATAGTGTCATGCCTAGATCCCAGACTCTTTTAAGAGATGTGTTCTCTGAGGAAGTAAAATTAAAAATATGTCTTTTAAATTACATTTGTGTGTGTGTATTTGTGCACACATATCCCATGCATGCATGTGTATGTCAACTTGCAGGAGTCAGTAGTCAGTTCCCTCCTTCCATCATATGGGTCCCAGGTGTAAATAGTAAGAATGGATGCAGAGTGAAGTGAATTTGGAAAAACTGGCTAAGACACTAGTGTCATTTTCTAGTTTGTCACACACAGATTTTTCTTATATTTCAGGTGACCATTAATCGAGAAAGGCTTGTGGCTGAAATTCAGAAGCGACTGTCTCTGTCTTGATTAGTGCCTGATTTCCATCTGCTGCCCTTAGAAGAGACGTTTTCATCTAGGACAGAGTTCTGGTGGACTTTACAACAGTCAGCCAGCATGGATGTTGTACAAGTGCCTTCTGCCTCTATCTCTCCTGGATAAGAACTACAGAAGGTCCTGAGGTCTCGTGGACTAGCATTAGCAGCTGCTCTGCTAGAATGCACATGGCTGTCGTGCCAAAGAGGCATCCTCTAGCTGCACAGGCAGATCTGAAGTGCCTCTGAATTCTGTCAAAGGGATGTTAGGAGCAAGGCTCTGGAAGAGTTGCCTGAGGCTAAAACTCTGAACCATTGACACGAGAAGTTAAATATGTACTTTACTTTCAACTGTAGCTTGGGAACCAGATTCTGGAGAATTTGTCTACATCAGACTATGGATTATCCATGGAGTATTAAATGGATAGTAAGAATGGACAGAAAAAAGAGATGATGTCCCAAGGACCCAGCAGTGCATCTGTTGATTCTTCCAGTTAACAGTAGAAGGGTGGGACTATTTCATAATTTTGAACATTAATCTTAATGGATAAGTTAGTCATCTTCTCTTGAGGTTTTGAACACCATTCCATTTGTTATAGCAATTTTTCTGGATTATTCCATATCCTGCTCTGGAGATTGTTTTAGAAGTGGTTATATGATACATTACATTTAAAAAATGTACTAGTGGGCTGGTGAGATGGCTTACTGATTAAGGGTGCATATTGCTTTTGCAGAGGACCTGAGTTCAGTTCCTAGCAACCACATCAGGGTGATTACAACTGCCCGAAACTCCAGTAACAGGTATCTGAGGCCCTCTTCTGGCCTCCGCAAACACCTGTACTTAATGTGCACATACTCATGCACAGACACATACACATAGGAATAAAATAATTTTAAAAAGTAAGCATACTTTGAGTAATTTGTTATCAAAGGATTAATATATGTAGACCTTAGGAAATGTTAACGTTTGAGTGTATACTGGAGAATTGTGTGAATTACAAGTAACCTTCCCTGGGGCCCACGTGGTAGAAGAAAACAGATTTTCTTGTTTGTCCTCTGGCCTCTACCTACTTACCACGACTTGTGAAGTACACATTGCAGGCTTATATACAAGATAAAATGTAAAACACAGAACAGCCCACCAAAACACCCATATAAAGTGCGGCTAAGGACTTGTCTTTCTTGATAGAGTGTCTGCCTAGCACTTGGGAAGTGAAAGCAGGAGGATCAGAAGTTCAAAGTCAGCTTTGGCACTAGGCAAGGTGGCACAGGACTTTAATCCTAGCACAAGGGAATTAGAGACAGGCCAATTATCTGTGAGTTATAGGTTAGCCATGGCTACATACTGAAACCCTGTATAAAAAATCATTCAGCCTTGGGTTTACATGAGATGCTCTCTCAATAAAACAAAAGAAAAAACCCTTTGTCTGATGCTACATACCTTTAATCTCAGCAGCAAAGTGGCCGAGCAGAGGCAGGGAAATCTCTTGACTGTGGGGTCATTTGAATAAGTAAAGCAGGACACAAGAGGAGGATGTTTAGACAGGAGGTTGGATAGATGAAGATGAAAAAATGCAGGGGAATTTGGGGAAAGCATCATCGAAGGGGGAAGTCTTTATGGGAACACAGATGGGCAGAGGTCTTGAGACTAGTAATATACCAAGGAATCTCTACAAAGAGAGTTTCAGGCTGGCCAGGGCCAAACAATGAGACCTTGTCTACAAATACACCACACCTATAATTCTAGCTCTTGCAAAGTGGTGGCGAGTTCAGGAGTTTAAAGTCATCTGCTGCTGCATTGTAGCTTGGATTATAAGACACCCTGACTCAAGCACTACCCTCTCCCACAAACATATTTTAAGCACTTGCCAGAGTAGCGAATGCTTTATTCTAGGGTGTTGGCTGATGACATTTTCAAGATTAAATTGTACTGTATACATGGAATGAGTTTAGATGTTCTCCAGTCTTCAAAATTAGTTTAACCAAAAAAGCAGCACCTTTTTTTTTGGGGGGGGGGGCAGTGTAAAACTACTTTTGTTCTGTGCATAATTTAGAGCCACATTCATAGTACATGCTGGTGAATGGGACATTCAGAGCCACAAGTGTTTTGATTTTTAAAATACGGTTTGCTAAGCAATTGCCTAGCAGGGAATTGAGCTAGGTAGCTCAATTGGTAGAATGCTTAATAGCATGAACGAAGCCTCCAGCACCAAATGAACTGGGCGTGGTGGCACATGCCCGTAAACTCAGCTCTTGGGATGTAGAGGCAGGAGAATCAGAAGTTCAAGATTAGCCTCTGATTACATAGCTAATTAAGAGTCCTCTTTTGGCTACTAGAGAACCTGTCTTTAAAAAAAATTTAGAAATCCTGGAGGAAGATTCAGGTAAAGTTGGTTAGATCATGGGGCACTGTTTCCAAAACTCTGATTCTATGTATAACAGAAGACTTGAGCTATTCTTCTGGGCTTGTTTTTAAAAGCCAGTGAGAAAAAACGTTGGCCGGTGCCCTTACTTCCGTGTTGCTTCATACTCCCTTTGCGCCTGCGCTATCTCCTTGGAGCAGAGGGCGGGGCCAACAGGACTGCCTTAGAATCGCTCCAGTCTTAACGCAGCTAGAATGCGAGGCTCGAATCTTATTGGAGCGTGATTTTGCCTTCTGGCTCCAGGGCGCTTCTTACGGCATTTTACGGCTTCCCATTCACTTCGCTGTGAAGATGGCGTCTGGCAGCGGGGTAGGTGTTGGTATGAGAAGGTTTGAGGGGTCTGGGGTGGTTTTTCAGAGCTAAATAGAGACAGGCTGTGAGACTTGACTGACTTCCTGATACCTCTTCGCGATCTCAGGGTTCAGGTTCGAGAACTCCCCCGTAAGGCTTTGGCGCAGGGACAGTGGAATCTCAGAAGTCTCTCGAGTTGGGGTCCCGAGTACACCAGACCCCTGGGCGTTCCAGAGAGACTTCTCTTTCGAAAGGTCCTGGGGCCGCCTCGGTGGCCGTTAGGCGATTCCCTTAGTTTCTCCAGGGGAACAGGAGCAGCGATGGATCTTGAGCACTTTTTCCTCCTACAGACAAAAAACTTGGACTTTCGCCGAAAGTGGGACAAAGATGAATATGAGAAGCTCGCGGAGAAGAGACTCACAGAAGAGAGAGAAAAGAAGGATGGTGAGTGCTCGCTCCATGAAGGGGATGGTAGAGTTGATGCAGTGGCTTGAGAAGGAATGTCTAAGCAACAGGATAAATCACTTGCCAGTTCACGAGTGAGGGCAAGGAGGGAAAAAAACAAAAACAAACAAACCCTAAAGCTTCTTGTCTCCTTTTACGTGAGCTTCCCCCAGGTGTGTGTGGCCCATATTCAGGGTTTTCCCATGCTAAGCAATCCAGCCCAAATGAAAAAAAATCAAATCAAATAAAAACTCTCAAACAAGTGTGTTCAGCTGCTTGGGTTTTAGTTGGTTCCAGATGTAGTTGAGTGGACAACCAGTATTATCCATCATACTGCATGGAAACATTGAACGTATGCTACTGGGTGTGAGTACCCCTCTTTTGAAAGGGTTACCTCTAGGAAAAATTCAGAACGCCTCAGTTCAGCTAGACAACATAAAGGAAGCACTGTTTAAGTTTGCTGGCTTTAAAGTGAGAAAAGCTCTTGAGAATTGGCATTACCATCACAAGTCTGAGGCCAGCTTGGTCCACAGAGTGACCAGGCCTATGTCTACATAATTCCAGGCCAACCAGAGTCTTTTCTAGCCTCTTTTAACTGCTACGTGAAGTACCTGTTATGTCCATTCTTTGAGGAATTAAAAAAAAGAATGAGTAGTCATCTGAATTTTGGGTTTTTTCCCCCCTCAGGAAAACCAGTGCAGCCAGTCAAGCGGGAGCTTCTACGGCACAGGGATTACAAGGTGGACTTGGAGTCCAAGCTTGGGAAGACAATTGTTATCACCAAGACGACCCCACAGTCTGAAATGGGAGGGTGAGTTGCTTTTTGTCCGTCTCTTAATACCAAGGCTGGCCTAATAAACTGTATTGGTTTTAGGAAGTGTTGAGGAGAATCCTGGGCCCAGGGGTGGCAACCTTACTGACATAACTTGATTCTTTGTTTTTCTTTGTCCCTTGAGGTTTATAGTCCACTCAGTCCTATTTCTAGGAGGGGATGTTCTATGGGCTTCTTCCTATCAGTACTGTACTACTTTCACGACATCTTCAAAGGGGTTATATATTTTGTTAGAAGACATGAAAGCTCTGGGTGTGTTTTAGGTAGAGCTGTTAACTATAGTTTTTGTGCACCAGTATTGTGACCTACAGAAGAGTTCCACAGAGCTTGTCACCCTTTGCCACCATTCCTTAAAGTCTGTCAAGTTACAACTTATATCATGAGAATCAGACAGATAGTAGTCTTTATGAAGATTAATTAGTAAATCCACTGTTGTGATGCCTTTGCTGTATAAATCAGCAAATTAAATATTTAGTAGCATGACATAATAATAGCTCATAGTGTCTGTGGGCAAGGAATTGAGGAGTAGTTACCTTGGAGGTTCTGGATGGGGTCTCAAATAAAGCTGCAGTTGTGGAATTGACTAGGTTTGCACTCACTGGGGCTTAAATAAAGTTAGAAGATCCTCTTCCGGGCCCTCATGTGCCTGTGGTTTTGAGGCTTAAGTTTATTCTGTGGGCCTATTTGTAAGTTGTTCACAATAAAGTGTAAAGAGGGTAGTTTCCCCAAAGCAAGTCATATGAAGTTTGTTCGTTTTGTTAGTGGAGACATTAATTGGCTAATTAACATGTAACTTTACCTAAAGATTTGAGTTTCTTCACTGAAAACAGTAAGATCTTAAAAACCAGATTAACCTGTGTACTATGTCTTCCCATTTGTTAGCTACTACTGCAATGTCTGTGACTGTGTGGTGAAGGACTCCATTAACTTCCTGGATCACATTAACGGAAAGAAACGTAAGGCTTGGAGGTAGTTCGTGACTGCAGCTGGGATTGGGTTTTAAAGGTGTGGAGGGCAGGTGTGGTAGAGTGGTTCTCTTTTTGTTTGCGTGCCTATGAGTATTTCTGGCTGTGACTGACTGCCTGTGCATGAGCACAGAGGCCAGAGGAGGAGGCTGGCTGGCCTTGATGATAATCTGCCTAGTAAGTGCAGTTGAAAGTGACTGCTTGTCATCTGGGGCTGCCACTTCTGAGAGCAGGTGAGGCCAAGAGCTTTTTTAGCCATAGGTGTTTTTGTTGTGTACTTTATTATGAAAAGGTAAAAAAACAAGTAAACAAACCTAAAAAAGCCAGAACCAGACTTTTTGAAGGGCTGAGGATGTTATAATGACTGCTTGTCTTCACTGTTATCCTTACCTAGATCAGCGAAACCTGGGTATGTCTATGCGCGTGGAACGTTCTACTCTGGATCAGGTAAAGAAACGTTTTGAGGTTAACAAGAAGAAGATGGAAGAGAAGCAGAAAGATTATGACTTTGAGGAAAGAATGAAGGAGCTCAGAGAAGAGGTGAGGCTCTGCTAACCTTGCTCCCTAGCTTTGAGTCTCCCCTGTGAACTGAGGGTGGCCCTCTGCCTCTGCTCACTCTCCTGTCCCCAGTTTTGTTTCTGGGTTTCTACTATTGCATCTTTGTTCCAGACCCATGATAAACGGCTCAAAGCCTGTCCATTTCTCTTTGGGTTTTTAGATTAGATCTGTTGGGTACAATTGTTCTTTCATTTTGTTTTTTAGACAGGTTTGTGTTAGACTAGTTATAGGTTCGTATCAAAATGAAGAAGGTTCAGAACTTCCCATTGCCATCCTATTCCCATGCTTGCATACATAGTTTCTCCTATACTTTTTACTCTTTTTTTAAAACTATAAGAGGGATTAACTAAATACAACTATTTCCTAGTTGGCCTATGCGTCTGAGTTACAGGGACAGAATTATTTTCTTCATTAATTTGCATGAATTTTTGGCAAGTTAAATAACCTTAGTGAACCTCATTCCCTGAACTGAAGATCTTAGGATAATATTTGCACAGAACTGAGAACAGATCTTGGCATATGCTTCGTGTCCCAGGATGTTGTCTGTTTAGAACTAGAGATGAACTAGGGTGTATGATTAAGAACTCCAGAGACTTAGTAAATCTCTTCTTATCCCTTAAAATCTTTTCTTACAGTCTTCCCCCACTGCCATCCTGGAATCAGCCTCAGGTCCTCAGGCATGCTGGGCAAGTGCGAGATCACTGACCTCTCCGTCTTTACTGTGGATTTTAGTCATGCTTAAAGATGGAAAAGAATCCTGAAGCTTACATTTCTCTTTCAGCAGTATCAGCTCTGGAGCCAACTGATTCTGAGTGGTTTTTTTTCTTCCTTACCCTTTAGGAGGAAAAGGCTAAAGCATACAAGAAAGAGAAACAGAAGGAGAAGAAAAGGAGGGCCGAGGAGGACTTGACTTTTGAGGAGGATGATGAAATGGCAGCTGTGATGGGTTTCTCTGGCTTTGGTTCCACCAAGAAGAGTTACTGAAGCATTGTTCTCTTTGGCCTAACTTTGGCCTATACTGGACCTAACTTTGAGTGTGTGTTGAGGTGGGGTGGGGGTGTCATTTCTTTTTTGGGTACTGGAGAAGGTCCTTAAGAGTGTTAATGGGCAGGGCTAGAGGGTGGGTGTTTGTGGTTTCCCTCTACATTGGGAGAGGGCACAGGATGTCGAGGAGATGCTGTGGCATATTCCTTCAGCCTCAGTACATTACTGGAGTCACAGAACCTCTGCCCATCTGTGTTCCCAATAAAGAAAGACCTCCCTCTTTGAGACTGCTTTCCCCAAATTCCCCTGCATCTTTCCCTCTTCATCTATCCAACCTTTTGTCTGAGCATCCTCCTTTTTCCTGTGTCCTGCTATTGTTTTAATTTTTACTCTTGTTCAGCTTGCAACAGAAGGGTTTTCTGAGTCTCCAGTATGGAGGTGCTGGCGTATCCTTGGCCCAGCTCTTCCTCCCATCCCACCCAGCGGTTCTCTACCCACTTGTGCATGCATGTGATTTCTGCCTGGGTCAATGTGTGTGTGGGTATGTGTGCATGACACGACACAAAGAGGGGACCTGAGCTAGAATCTCAGAGCATTGATGCCCTGAGACCTAATGTTCTTGGTTTCCTCGGTGCATGTAACAGGATATTAAATGGGATGAGTGTTGGTGTGGTTTGTGTCTGCTGAGTTTTTAACCTTGTTTCACTTCACTGAGGATTTCTGGTTTTGTCATCCTCAGGAAGAGGTTCTTGGAAGAACCTGTGTGATGCAAAAAAGAAAGCAACAAAACAACCCTAAAACCAAACAAAGAAACTTACTCTGGGAGACCCCGGTTGTCAGACACTGTTCAACATGTACAATAAATGACAGTGACAAGGCCTGTTTCACATTTGTTGGGAACATGTCCATATCATTCCCTGCCCCACACGTTCCTACACCACAAATTTCTGTAGAACCTTTCTCTTTCATTTGTTCCCTCACCCTACCCCCCTTACATATAGGTTTTCTTAGTGTGAGTTTTCCCTTCTGCTAATAGAATCTGTGCCCTTGGGAGTCCAAACAAAACATCATAGTCCCCGTAGTTTTAGCACGCTCTGATCTTACTAGAAGAGCTCAGGGTTAAACTTCACTATCTGCAGTTGGGCAGGCACTGTTGATGATGAGCTAGGTAAGTTTTGGATTGGGGTTTTTGTTTTATATTTCTGAGGCAGGGTCTCATTTGACTGGCCTTGAACTCAATTTTATCTGCCTGCCTCAGCCTCTCCAGTGCTGAGATTAAAGGTAACTTTACACCTTTAATCTCAGCACTGGCCAGGGATTTTTTAAGGAGTTGTTTCATGCTCTATAGTATGCTGAGCAGCATCCCTGGCTTTCACCCAGTAGACGTCAGTAACATTTCCTTCCAGTTTGTGACAACTACAAAATATCTTTTTTCCCCTGGGAGTGGGTAAATGGCTCTCCCATTGAAAATGACTAAGAAGCTTTTATCCACCTTGGTGTAACTTGTGAACTATATAACAAAGGCTAGTTAAAAACAAATCCCTCCCAAACATACAGAACTAGATCACATACTGTGCCTTGTCTAAGGAATTCAAGGGCGAGATGGGGATGAAGGCAGAGGGGACAGTTATACATGTCTTGTAAACAGATGAAGCTCCCTTTGCTGGCTCTATACTCTTAATAAAGGGGTCCATTTGACAAGATTGCCACAGTGACTTTTCTTTGACCCATATAGTTCCTCACCTGTGTGTAGCATCTGGAACACTGGATCCCACCAAGCACCCTATCCCTTACTGTAAGTTTCCTTTTTGCTTAATGAATTCTCATGGGATTTGGCCACTGCATAAATACTCCCATCTGTATGTTGGCTCAACTCTTGGCTTGGGAATTTAAATAGTGTTGAGCAAGGTGATGTACAGCTGTAACCCTAGCACTTGGGAAGCAGAAGCAGGATTACTATAAGATCACAGCCAGTCTGGTCTGTATGCTAAGACCCTAAGGAAACCTCACAGTTACAGGCTGATTGCAATTCATGTATGCTTTCATTGGCAGGATTGCTTCCAAATCCTAGAGAGGTTACCCTTGTGGAGTGGTTCATTTTATATTTTCAAGTCAGATTGGACAAGGTTTCAGTGAGAGGAGATGTTAACAATATTCACACCCATTCAACTCTAGTGTTTTCTCAGGTATGGTGAGATCATCTCTGCCGTTTCCATTATAATTATGTGTTCCAGGTTCTGTAAACCCTGGGGAGTGGTAAATGGAATGACCTGGCTAGGTTCTATGGCAGTGTTGTGTTAAGATGGTGATTTAGAAGGCAAAGACCCGGTGGGTGGGGGATTTAGAACACAGAACAATCCCATATAACTCAGGAATCTCTGGAAGAGAAGTTTATAATCGATGGGAAAATTTCTACTTGCGGTGAATGCACCCGTTGTCTTATATTCCATTTATTCATTGAGTGTTTAGAAGACAAACTTCATTTTATTTGAGACAAAAATCTTATGATCCTCTGTCTCAATCTCCCATGTACTTTGGCATTGCAGGCATGTATGACTATGTCTGGTTAACTAAGCAGCTTCTGAACAGTGTCAAGATCCACTGGTAGAGAATTTCCCTCTGATAAATGTTATCTAAAATACCCAGAAGCCAGGTGTGATGCATGCATTTAAACCCATGACTTGGGAGACGGAGGCAACTGATCTCTGAATTTGAGGCCAGCCTGGCCTACATAGTGAGTTCCAGGTTAGCCAAGGCTACATAGTGAGTCCCTGTCTCAAACAAAGTGAAAATGGAATGAAAGGTGGCTCTGTAGCTTCTCAGAGAGTATCTCATGTGGTCCAGAGTGGCCCTGAACTCACTTATGTATCCAATCCAAAGATGGGCTTGAATCCTATTCCTTCTGCCTCCACTTCCCCTAAGTGCTGGGATAATAGACATTTGTCACCATGCTGGCTGTAAGGATCTGTCATTCAAAATTCTTGTGGGCCTGTAATATAGCTCAGTTAGTAAAGTGCTTTGCCTAGTGTGTACAAAGCTCTAGGTTCAATCCTTGGCAACTTCTTACAACTGACTGTGTTTGGGACTGCTATCCAGAAGGGTCAGAAACTCAAGGTCACCCTCAGCTGTATAGCAAGTTCCAGGCCTGGGTTATATGAGACCCTGTCTATGGACAAAAATGATTCTTGTGTGATAGCCTTCATGATGCCTGGGTTTGATTCCCAGCCTACACCTTCCAAACAGGTGTAGTGGTACCCTACTTGGGAGGTTGAGGCAGGAGGATGGCAATTTTAAGGGAGAACCTGGGTTAAAGAGTGAGACCTTGTCTTCAAAGCAAGTCATAAACAAATAGCACTCTTCTGTATACATCAATAGATATAAAGGAATGTTAAAAGCCAGTGCATTTAGGGCAGCCACTACAATGGAGATGAGTTACGCATACACCATAGGAAAGCTCTCCAAGACTTAATTTTTGTTTGAGACAGAATCTTATGTAGCCAGTCTCTGCCATTCACCCTCCAAATGCTGTGTCCAAGACAGTTACCTAAATGAAAAGAATACTCAATATTCATAGCAAAACATCTAAAGTCCTGCGTTGTATCTAAGCGAATTCACACTGAAATATGGTGGCAAACTAGAAAGACAGGAATTTGGGGAAATTAGTTGATTTCAGTACGTAAAGGGCATAAGAGTTGACTAGGTATTTGAAATTATATAGTGACAGGATACATAAGAATATACATTTGGGAGAGACTCTTTAAGCAGCGAATTTCCAAGGTATCTCTCGAGTAACAGTTTACCTTTACAAAGCTTCCACTTGGGTGGATGAGGTAACAGTGACGAGGGTGGGTTGCGGAGTTGGCGTGGTTTAGTGTGCGGAGGTTACACCCGGACTGGATGAGGGAAGGTATGAATGAATGGAGGAGTGGGTGAGGGAGGCAGTCTGCACAGGGGGAGGTGTTGGAGTCCGCGCAGGCGCTGTGGTTATCCGGGAAGGACTTAGTGGCCGGAAGGGAATCTGATTGGTCTGTCACTACAGAACTTTCAAAATATCCGAATGACGTACGTTTCTCTCACAGTCATGTAAATATATCCAGGAAGTAACCGGCGGGCCAGCTTTAGCTCAGCGGTTACTTCGTCAGTGCTTCAGTTCATTACTAGCTATTCGTAGCTAGTTCGAACGACACAACCAACCACTTGCCTAACCCGTGAGTGTTTGGTTCGAGACCCGCGGGCGCTCTCTGGCCCTTTTGCTGCTGTGGTACTTTGGCACTTTTGCATGTTAAAAACTCCCAGAACTTTTTGAATAAATAGCCCGCACATTTTATGTAGTTTCAGAAAAAAATCGGGAGAGGGGGTAGGGCTCACCAACAACAGAAAAGTTTAATTTTAAAAATTAGAGTACTTAGTAATATTTTTGTTCCAATAGTTAGGTATACTTGTATCTTTTATGCCATTCTCCTTGAAATCGGGAGGATTTTTTTCATTTAGTTAAAAAATGAAAAAGGTTTTATTTTTTTATTTACGCGACTGTGTGAATGTATATCACATATGCGCTGTCTTGGGTGCTGGGAGCTGACCTCAGGTTTTCTTAACAGCTGAATCATCTATCTTTTGAGTTTAGTTGATTTTGTACGATACTCCTCAGAATTAACCATTCCGGGTGAGTTCATGTAAGACCTTTTCAATGTGCAGACATAAGGTTTATATCCAAAACCTTTTCTGATGTTAACACTTTGAAAGTATTCCATTCATTTCTTCTTTGTGAGCTGTATCTACCACGCTCTCCAAGAACCTGCTTACTGCTTTCTTGTTATTACTTTTAATTCTTTCCTCAATAACAGTGGTTACATTTAAATTAAAATTTCCCTTAGGACATCTAACAAATTTAATTAATCTAACAAATTTTGCTCTGAACTGATTTATTTTCTCCAATTTCTTGTGATTTCAGACAGCTCTGTTCTTTTAGTTTTTTTTTTTTAATGTCAATTTCTGGGTTATATTTTAGTCTTTTTTTCCCCTTTCATATCATTAAGTGATATTTAAGGTTATTTAATTTAGGTTGGAGTATAGTTCTCAAGTTTTCCTATTGTATAGTTAGTATTTTTTTAAAAAGAAGATAATTGATTTTAATTTTCTTCATGTAATGCGATGCCTGCTATTTTCTGTGCATTTTGAATGTTTTGTTTTCCGGTTTTAGCAATTGCTAATAAGGTTAATCAGATTTCTCCGTTCAAGAGTGCCCTCTCGTGTCCGTAGAGTAGAATGCACCTGTTTGGTTGAATAGAGGTTTGATTCTGGGTTAGTGTCTCTTTTGGGACTGCAAGACTTCTGTGTATGCTCCCTGCCTATGTTTCCTCACAAAATCAATACAACCCTTCACATCACCTCTTATCCCTGGAAGGGATCGCTTCTCAGACAACCACTTCTCGTTTCAAGCTCTTTCAGGCCATTCTTTTAGCGTTCTCAGTTTCTTTCATCCTCAGGTGATGGATTCACTTGTCCCTCATCATTGATAGGTTTTACGGTGTGCCATCTTGATTTCTGTTCTGTAGCGTGGCTCTGTAACTGTTTGTTTAGGAGGATATAACTGCAATGTTTGTAAAACTAGGTGCAAATTGTTTCTGCCTTTAACTTATGCTGTTGCCATAGGTGGATATGTTCTTGTGAATGCAGGTGCCCACAGTTGTCAGAGTTACAGGCAGTAGCTATCTAAGCTGTGTGCAGACAGAATCCAGGTTCTCTGCAAGAGCAGTACATGCTCTTAACCACTGAGTCATTCCTCCAGCCCCAACATGTGTGGTTTTACTTGCTCTCTTGAGCTTTGTTTTTAGAATGCTGAAATGTGAAAGATTCATACTCAGAAGGCTGATTTAATTCTCTGGACACTTGGGAGCCAGCACCTTTCTTTAAGTTTCCTTTGTTTTGTAAATGTACTGCAGGCTGGTCTTGAGCTTTCGATTCTCTTGCCTCTGGAATGCTGGGATGACCGACACTTACCACCATATCTGCTTCATTTCTGTTAAAATTTTGAATATGGGGCTAGAGACATGGTCTGTGGTTAAGGGCATTTGCTATTCTTGCAGAGGAACTGAGTTTGGCCCCAGCACCCACATGGTAGCTCACAACAATCTGTAACTCCAGTTCCAGGGACTCTGATCCCATATTCTGGCTTCTGCAGGCAGCAGATCAGACACTTGAATGATACAGAAACATGCATACATGCAGGCAAAATACTTATATTTCTGTCTTAATCAGGGTTTCCATTGCTGTGGAGAGACCCCATGACCACAACAGCTCTTACAAATGAAAACATTTAACTGGAGCTGGTTTACAGTTCAGAGGCTTAGTCTATTATCATTGTTATGGGGTTTGTGACTCTGGACAAAAAACTCCATAGACTCAATCCAATTATAAGTAAAAGATTTATTGATTAGCTGTTAGCAAGATGAACAATCTCTGAGCCAAATTTGAGATTGCCATGGAAGAGGAGTGTGGGAAATGACTTTTAAAGGGGAAAACCACAAGAAGACCTTCAATATGTATGCAAGCAAGTACAGACTGCCAGATTAACTAGTTAAGATAATTTAAAACAATCTTAGGGTATCTGTTTAAACAAGTTACAGAAGTGGAAAAAAAAGCACTAAGTCATATAACAGGTAGATAGTCACAACTGTATGTTTTTGGGGGAAGGTCAC